CCCCAAAACCCCAAAACCCCAAAACCCCAAAACCCCAGGGGTGAGCTGGGTGATTGAAGACTATGAGTTTGTACTAGGGATATGGGAAGAGGGTTTTGTAATGATTTTTTAATAGGTTATTCAAGGTGTTGGTTAGGTTTTAGGCCTGTATTTACTGGGAGGAATCCGTTCTTCTCTAAGAAGGATAAAGCAATATGACCATGTTCCTCGAGACGCTCTCCTGCAGTTGAGGCTTTGCCGATCATATTTATGAGATTTGTAAATGTTGTATTTATTAATGCTTCATCAATACAAGACAAGTGAGCTGAGTCCTCTAATTCAATATCATAAATTTCTTTAGATCCCTTCGCTCTGCAATTGGTGATAAATTTCTTGTGGACTTTGACTTGATCGTAGTCCTAGATTTAATAATTAAGATAATTGTCAGGGATATTAAGTATCAATTAGATAACTCTGCGAAACAATTTAGATATTTATTTTTAAAATTTTATAATAATTTGATAGAAATCATAAAAAAATCACATTTATCTAAAAATAACCAAGATTTGTAGAACATTTCAAGTCAGAAGTTGGGGATTTAGATACCTAAAGTTAACTAGATGACTTATAAAGTCTGGGATAACTTACCATAAAAGGAGAATAATCAAATTTATATGTATTAACTAATGCTAGAGGCTGTTTGATATAATAATCATCAGATTTTTCGATATCTTTATGTCTTGCTCAAAAATATGGATCAAAAGAAATGCAAATTTTGAAATCTTTATCAAATTTCTTGGCCATCTCTATACAAGTCATGCCTCCCATGGAATGACCCATAGATACTATCTTGTCCAAATCTATATGCTTATATTCTTTGATAGATTGGTCCTTGATATAGTCGAGGACAGTCTCAATATCATCCATTCGGCCATTTAAGAACTTTAACCTGAATTCATCATGCTCGTACTTATTTCCAAAAGAGTCTACTTTCTTTTTTCTGTCATAGTAATTGTAGTTGTAGTGCTTGGATCCCTTAACTGAGTAATCCTTGCCTATAATGGATGAGCCATCAGTGTGATTTAAAGTATAGACGATGCAGCCATAACTTGCTAGCATAGATGCAAGTGTTACAAAATGCTCTCTACAAGAACTAATTCCATGTGAGATAATAACAGGTGTAAGCTTTTTGTGGCCTGTCTCGAAATCTTTATGTAATTTTGAACCAATAATCGCTCTGATCCTGTACAAATAGTAATCTCTTGCAACAGGTGTTAATAAAGATATGCTTGTGGGCAAACGAGGTGCAATTTTAGAGATTGGGATTTCAAAAGCTTGTATGGCACCTTGAACACGACCAAGAATTGCATCTTCACCATCAAGGAGAGCGATATGAGTTCTTTCTTCATTGTCAATATTTTGGAGATATTCTTCTTTATCAATTGGGTAAAATATTCACACAGGAGGTGTTGTTTTACCTTTAACTACAATATCTCTGACTCCAACTCCATATGGTCCAGTCGCATTGTAAACATAATGTTTTGAGGTATGAATAAGACTTGCTAATAACCCGAATGATATCAAGAGACTGATCATTCCATAATCTCCAATAATCGTACTTAAACCCCAATACATGATTATATCCACAAATCAATGTACTGCATAAGTAGCTCTAGCTGAAACTATAAAATCAAGTCCTAAATCTTAGTTATCCAAATCCTTACAATTCCAATCAAAGAGTATACACATTGCAACTGCTAAAGATGTCATACTCCAAGCTCAGCATAGAAAACTACCGAGAGTATCTCCTAGAACACCGCTCCTGGCTAGAGCAGCTACAAAGAACCCTGGCGCTACAACATTCTTCTCAAAAGATGTTCAGAAATATCTTGTTTCCATTTTTAATTGAGGAATTCAATTATGACATAGAATTTTGGGGTTTTGGGGTTTTGGGGTTTTGGGGTTTTGGGGTTTTGGGG